CAATAATGTCTTTGTAACGAGTGCGTAATACTTTCTGTGCATCAACGTCTGTCTCACAGTTGTATCTCTTTCTCACTGGAACTCCCAAATACCCAAGGGCTTCCCCACAACTTCCGGTATCGTTCCACAAGAGAGAGGACGACGCGCCCATCACCCTCCCCAGGGATCGAGGTAAAAGGGAAATTTTGGCGACGGATGTCACAAGGATTATTTGCCATGGCTTCCTCCAGGTGCGAGCTAGCAACACGTCAAGGAGCTTAAGCAGTTTGATGTCTCTTTCCCTCATCAAGTTGACTAGCATCGCCCCTTGGAGGGGTCTGACCACAGACATGCCCTGCAGCTAGTTTCTCATTGTACGTTATTTCTCGCTCCCGACAATGTCTTGAAGGCTGCATTCGTAATCTCAAATCTATCTTCCCATTTCATTGAGAAAACATTCTCGAGCAGAAATCCTTTTGGTTTCGTCTCATTCATTACTCTTAGGCCATCCACTCATTTTCAGTATAGTTTTTCCTCTCCCCGAAGCTCAGGCATAGTCAAATCCACATGCATTCTTCCCGGGTCATTCCTCCCGGCCTTTCTCAGGTCCTGCCAATTCCGCATGCATATCATCCTCTGCCCTTTCTTGCCCTCTACTTAATTGACTTTTCATGTGCAATGCTTGGTTCACCCCTTAGCCACTTCTTATCTTTTCAAGCTTATACGAGCCGATTACACAGCCAACTCTCAGTCTGCAAGTTCCAGTTCATACCATGTCACTTGCTCAAGTCCTTTCTGCGTTGGCGTCTTGCCAGGCCCCCTTTTCTCAGGCTTATACAAAGTCAATTACAATCTTTTTCTGTTCCGGCCGTCTTGACAGGCCCCTTTTTTCCAAGCCCATGCAAAATCAATTACAAGTCTTATTTTCATGCGTATTCATTGGTAGATGGCACACCTTCCCCCAACTCAAAACACGATGTCCCCATCGTGCGACTGGTTCTCACTCGGAGGTACGTAGACCTTTGGCCCGCCAACCGCAAGTCAAGGACACAAGCCCATCCACTTCACAAAAGAAGGAGTGATCAGTTCCTCCCCAGCGAACGACGCCTCATCCTTCTACTCGGTTCAACCTTTATTCTCTCACGTGGCGAGCACAAATACCGAGGTTCCTCCCCGCGTCTGTCAGGTAGGTCCAATCCAAGCCTGCCAGGGCCTCGTCCAGTCGTAAGAGTGTTCCTCGCGAATCGTTCCTCCCGAGTGGTGATTTTCTTGATTCCGGCCTCTTTCTTTCAAGAGAGTTGGGGCTCTCGATCAGTCCGCGAGTGCAGTTACGAAGACCTCGCAATTAGTCCCGAAACGGTTGTAATGTTCCGGCAGGGCAGTGTCAATGCCCCGTGGTGGTGGCGGACTCCACCCGGTACCTCGCCCGGCCTCTCCCTTTGGACAGTGCCGCCCAACTTAGCGCGGGCAGCCGTGGTCCGACCCAAACGGCCATGCCACCCCTCTATGACCTGGCGTGTGGTTGGGGAGTAGCAGAATAGACTAGATGAGAATGACTTTCCTTCCCATTTGGCTCTCTCGCCCTTTGACGTTTAGGCATTCAACAGGAGGCGCAGTTGGAACTCCCCGACTAGAGCTCATTGTCGGAGGTGGTTCCGGACGTCCCGCACCGATCCAAGTGGTAGGTGCCTTAGACCTTTAACCTTCATCCTCTTGAAGATTAACAGGTTGCGCTGAGACTTTTTCCCCCAAAGGGATAGAGGTCTTGGGGTCGCGGTGTATGCACCGGTGTATGCACCGGTATCCCCCTCTTGCTGAGGCCAAAGACTAGAAGAAAAAGAGAAGTTCCATTTCAAGGCTCTTTCCAAGTCCATTTCCATTTGCCTAGGGTCCCGTGTTTATGCAATGCAATTTTCAATACTCAATCCAATTCCAATGCTCAGTCTCATTTCATGCTCAATCCCAATCCAATGCTCAGTGCAATATCTCTTCCAAGGCTGAGTCCAATATCTTTTCCGAGGCTCAACTCTTCCCAATATCTTTTCCAAAGCTCAACTTTTCCAATATCCTTTCCAAAGCTCAACTCTACCCAATGTCATGCATCTCAAGCAGCCATGCAAGGGGACCCCAGTGCCAATTCCAAAGAATGATCCTTGTCAGGGACCATTCCGAACAACCTGGTTAGGGTCGTTCTTTCCAATTCCAAGTCGAACAGCCTGGTTAGGGCCATTCTTATCCATTGCAATCGGACAGCCTGGTTAGGACCATCCTTATCCATTCCAATTGGACAGCCTGCTTAGGGCCATCATTTGTCCATTGCAATGTTAGCGCCCGAGGGGGTGGGCCTCGTGGACACGGATCCTATCTCGTCTCGGGGGTTAGAAGGCGGCCATCCTCTTGGGTTTTTATGCATGCTTCTTCCTCTTTGCTTTATGCCAATCATCATTCTCATGTCCACACATACACCAGACTTAGTGTCTAATGCTCAATTTGAAGCTCACGGCCCCAAGCAGCACTAGCCCGGGGTTAGAAGGCTAACTCATTTCAATGTTTTACTCCCACTTTTTCGACTTCTTATATCCTATCAATGCTCTGGACTTGTCTGGGATAGGTTGGATTAGGCTCCTAAGGAAGAGGATGCCTCTTTACCCATAGGTCCCCTAACCTCTGACAAAGACTCGTGCAACGACTCGTTCAATCATGGTTACACAATTCAAAAGGAAAGCTTTCGTCATCAACGTTTCTTCCAACATTCAAGAGTTCACATGCCCTTGCTCATCTCCTCGAGACAAAGTTAATCACCCCGAGTCCCTTTCTTACAACCAAAAAGGCTCATGTTTCCCAAAAGGAGCAAGTACTCGTACAAAGTAGCACCGGTCACCCACCCCCTACTAGTTTCTTCATTCCAAAAAGTAGTTACATCGCAGTCTTTCCAAAAAAGACGAGGAGACAAAGTTCGAATGCAAGACAACATAGAGACTCGTCTCATCTAGCTCCCTCTGGTTTTCCCCTTGGCCACCCCAGGCATCCACAGTTCTCTTCTAAGTGCGAAAAGCACTCGTGCCCATTCCCGAAGAAGCAACGACTTATATGAAGTAGCATTCATTACCCAGCCTTTAGCCGCTTCGGGCTTAGCAACTGTCTCATCATAGTTCATTCAGAAATAAGTTCAAAGGCGAAATCCAAAATGGCGGTTGCGACTGCCCAGACACCAACCCCTCCCAATTTCTAGCTATTTCCCATTGCGCCTGCTATTCCTCTATTGTCCAGGTGGCCTGCGTCGAGCCTCCCTCCTTGCACGGTCCTCCATTTTCTGCTGAATTTGCCTCTTTATTTCTTGCAATTGAAGGAGTGTCTGCTCTGTGAAAAAGTTGTTGGGGATAGATCCTCTCCCCTGCCCAGTTTTGCCCTTGCCTTCGTTATCCACTGAAATCGCAAGATAGTGCCCCGTTGGTCAAACCAGTCGCTGAAGGTTGGCCCGAACTCTTCTATCCATTTGTCCTTTACCTCACCCGGTTCGTCCTCTCTTCCCCGTTCTTCCCTTGTGGGCGTTGTTACCTCATCTTCCTCCTTGTCGCTGGTGAGGTGAATGAACTCAACGGGTTCATTCTCTCTCGGCCGTTGTCCTTCCTCTGGGTTCCCCTCCTCCATCCTTCGCCTTTTTTCCAGGTTCCCCTCTTCCTTACTACTAGGATCACTGTCTAAGGCAGCTCTATTGGCTCCCCTTCCTTCAGTGGTGACGGTCCTCTGGTCCCTTGCTTTCTGCCCCCCCTGTTCACAACTCGGTTGTGATCGAACCCCACATACAACTTCCTTTTCCTGGAGCTTGACTGTCCGGCTTGCCTTGACGACTGTCCCTCTTCCGGCCTGTTAATTGCATTGCTGTCATTTTCATTCCCAAACTCCGTTTTTTTGTTTTCTTGTTGTCTTTCTTCTTCTTGTCTGACCCTGTTCATACATAACAGTCACGGTACTCCTCATACACACACATTCCCTTCCACTCCCATTTGCAACTTTTGGAGGCTTCCCTAGAACTCTTGCTTGCCCCCATATAGTTGGTAGTCCCATTATCCCTTAGAACCCTCGACACATTGTCCCAACACATAGGTGCCCCATGTAGGCAGTCCACAACATCACCCCACAAAAACTATGGTACATTGTCCCAGCTCATAAATACCTCGTGTAGACAGTCCCCAGCGTTACCCCACAAAAACTATAATACACTGTGTCGTGCTCCCAAGCCCAGTCACAGTCCACCCAGGCAGTCTCCCCACGTTCCACAAAAAGCAAGACACACAAAAGAACAATCCCTGTGGTCATGATCACTTCCCCAGCGAGGCGGTCCAAAACTTATACAGCTGCCTGCCTTTCAGGCTGTCAGTTCCCCAATTTCTCTGTTCGGGCTTCTTGTAACCATTGTTCCACCGGATCCCTGCTCAAAAATCTGGCCAGTCTCTGTCCCGGAAATGGTCCTCTTATGCTAGTACCATCAAGATCCTCAAGTTTGAACGTATTCAGTCCCACCCGCTTAGCGATCCTGTAAGGCCCTTTGAATCTCTTTCCCAGTTGCCCAGACCATGTGCTTTCAAGAGCCGAGTTTCTAACTAACACTTTCTCTCTCACCTGGAGTGGCTCTTTCCGAATGTTCTTGACCTGGTCCCACCTTGCTTTGCCCTTCATTCGGCTATCCGTTACACGGTTAGCTACTTCCTCCAATGCCTCCTCATTCCTGGTGACCTGTTGGCAACGTGCGATGATTAACTCCTCTGTGGTCAAGTGCGGATTATCGTCTAACCTGTTCCAAGTAGGGACGAGGGCCTCCACTGGGAAGTCGATCTCCCTTCCATACCATAACTCCGCTGGAATGCATTCCGTCGTTCTCTTTGGTATCATGTTCTCAGAGAAGACTGCCTGCTTAAGGTACCGTGTCCAGTTCCCCAAGTTGTCTGCTGCAAGCTTACCGATTGTGTTTTTCAGGGTCCGGTGGCCCCTTTCTACTGGTGCATTTGCCTCAGGATGGTAGGGCTCAGTAATCTTGATTGGTACGCACAATATCTTAAGCCTGTTCGACACCTCCTGGTTAACGACCTCTGTCCCATTATCTGCTATAAACTTGAGCACGAAGGGGTGGTCTTAGGTAGAAGTCTTCCACCCAATCGGCCACTGGTTTTCCTGTCTTCCTCTTGAGAGCTACGGCCTCTACATAGCCACTGAGGTTATCCCTTGCATCCAAGATGTATCTAAACCCATCCGTCGATACGGGCATAACCGCAAGATCGAGGCGAACAAGGTGTCCGGGTCCCAGTACCCGAGTGGGCGTAAGGGGCTCGTAAGCCCGTACGGAGCTCCTCTCTTGACATATCAGACACGTTTGACAGTACGTTGCGACCATACCTGCCATTCCTGGCCAGAAATACAGGGGCACGATCTTTGCAAGTGTCCCCTTTGACGATCGGTGACCTCCAGCTAGCCCATCACGCATTGCCTGAATGACGTCCAGCTGCGTAGACCTCCCACAAACGACTCGCCTAGGCGTCATCCCTTCCTCTTTCTTAAACAGGTGGCCATTTCTTAAGACATACATCTCAGCTTCCTCCCTTGCCTTGGAGCTGACTTCCGAGGGTTGTTTGTTCCTTACAAGCAGCAGACTGATTTCTCTAAAGACACCCTCATACATTTGTATGAGGAAGAACTCTTGTTCCTTCCGTTCCGTATCCTGCTCTTCCCGGGTCTGGTTGACTAGGTACTGGCATTCCTTCGGCGCCCAGGTTTTGGCCAACGTCATCATGGCGTCCTGTCCCCCTTCCACAATCATTGCCATCAGTTCCTCTCTGGCCCCAACTTCTGCTCCCCAGGAGTCCTTTTCCTCTTTGCGCCTGACCGTGGTGACTGGTCCTTCCCTGAGTTCTGCAACTACTGCAGGTGCCCCCTTTTCCAAGATCTGAATCAGCAACTGGCCTGTTGTAATTGCTGGATCTGCCATCTCATTATCCACAGCAAGGGTCCCTCCTTCATACTCCAGGAAGGCGTCAATTGGTTCCGCGTCCGCTACTCCTTCTGGCGTGATGCATACCCTGCTCAGCCCATCTGGCCTATTTCGAAGCCCTGCAATTCGCTCGACCTTGTAGTCGAATTGCCATATGAAGCCCATCTGCAAAAGGTCGAATCTATAGGCTTGTAGTTCTTTAGGGCTCCGGCAACGTTGGTGGGATCGATCCTTAGGATAAATCGCCTCCCGAACAGGTATGCCTGGAAGGTCTTAAGACTATGTAAGATTGCTAAGACCTCCTTCTTGAACTGCGAGTACCGTCGTTCTGCCGAATTCAAGGTCCTACTCTCGAATCTGATCGGTCTTTCCTTGCCCTCCTCGCTTTTCTGTATTAATACGCCTCCTACTGCCATTGGACCGCCATCTGTCTCTAGGATGAAGGGCCATCCTACTTCGTCATTGAAGCAGGGTGCTGTTAAGATAACCTGATCGGACGACAGGATGTCTTTCAGGGTCTGGGCTGCCTCTTCCCTATCCTCGGTCCAATCCATAGTGCCACCTTCCCTAATTATCGCGCGGATAGGTTCTGCTATCTTTGCGAAACCTTTGATGAAAATCCTCTAGAATCCAACCACCCCTAGGAAGGCTCGTACTTCCGTCGTGGTACGCAGAGGTGTCGGCCATTGAGAGATCTTATCTGTCTTCGCTCGGTCGGGTCTTCTCCCATAGGCCCTACAGCGAAATCCCAGTATAGTTACCTCCGGGACAACCAGGATGCTCTTTGGCCCACTTGCGGTAATATTATAGAGCAAGAACCGATGTAGAAGATCCTTGATATCCTACAGGTGATCCCAGACAAATTTTCGCACACCCGGCTCGACCTCTGTCTCGTCCTTGTGCCTTGCGCCTTTTACGAGATTATCATCTATATACGGTTCACACTTCTCTGGAAACATATCCCCTGTGACGACGAGCATCCTCCTCTGCGCCTCTGCTACCACATTTGTGAAATCCATAGGGGTCACTTGCATCTGCAACTGTCCTACGGGGGTGTGCATTGCGGTGTACGGTCTATCCCTCGCGTCGAGTGGCAACTGATCATATCCTGAGTACAAGTCAACCAGAGAGTAAATGCTCCGCCCCGCATGAGACTCTGCCAACAAGTCGGTTTGTGGAAGCGAGCCTGTGTCCCTAATTGTTACCGCATTGAGCTTCTGCAGGTCCTGGATCCACCTGAGCGTCTTATCGGGCTTCCTGAACACGAACCACCTGTTCGCGTAGGGGGATGCGGTTGGTTCAGCCACGAAAGAATCTATCTTAGCTCTAAGCGGGTCGGTAACCTCCGCTGCTATCCCAAACTCATAGGCGGACCCTTTATCATTCCAACACTCGTGCTGTACGGTGTGGATCCTGACAGGGGGAACTAGCTTTGCGTCCAATCGCCCTTTCTGATGATCGTTGAAAGCGAAAGCTAGATGAAACTCCTGATATGCCCTTCTTATCAACTGAGTTTCTTCCGGTGTTAGGAACCCTTCCACTCCTATTTTCATGGTATATGCTACGCCATCTGGTATGCGATGCCCTTCCATTGCTCGCCTCTCCCTTATAACCCGCAGGATTTCCTCTTCCTTTTCCATGGCCTCTTCCTTTGATGTTTCTACTAGGATCGAGACCGGCTTGGCCTTCTTGCCTACGGGTTTGTACTTTCGCACACTTCCTTCTAAGATCGTTCTCCTAAAAAATGTACGGTCGGGATCGGCCTTGCTACTTCCAAGACGCGGGGCTGGATGCTGACTAGCTTCCCATTGAGACAGTAACCCTTTCGGACCCCATCCTCAAATCTAGCAAGCGCTGCGGGGTCCACCCCCACTTTGTGATACCTGATGGCCTTAACGAGCTGTAGCAAATTTGGGATTTCAAGCACCACCTCTGACGTTTCGTTCCGTCCTTCCTTTGGTTTGGGCAAGCTGGCCCCAAGCTCGACTTCCGACTCTTTTTCTGCCACCATAACTTCCAGGCCCTCGTCCTCTTGCCTCCTCTTCTTCAGGGGTAGACCCATCTTGATCCACTCCTTCTTGCTAAAGACTTCCTCAATCATGATTTCTACTCTTTCTCTCATGCCTTGCATCCGTGCGAATGCGCCTTTCCGCGCGCTTTCTTCAAACGTCGGCGACCAGGTTGCTAACTTACCCTTGGGAGGGTCCCCTCCAGTTCCGAGGAGTCGGAGAAGTTCTTCGCGACCAGTCACCGGATCCTCTATGTCTACCATATATGTGCCATCATGCAGGTGCATGCCAATCATTTCTACATTGGCGCACCATGGTCTCCCGAGGATTATGTCATGGTCCATTTCTTCCATGACGGTCATCCGTTGGAAAGACCAGATGGATTCCCGAATTCCTGCCCTGACCGCGCATTTGGTAACATACCCAGTGAAGGGAATTTCTCCGCCTGCTCCCCTGATACTCCCTGCTACTTCCTTGTTTACTGTGCACCTCGTGATCGTTGCGAAATCCTGTCGTATGAGGGTAATTTTTGCGCCGCCGTCCACTAATGCATCGTTGTGGTGGGTTTCGACCTGGACTTTAAGTTTTCCTACAGGCAGTGCGTGGAAGCTTAGTGTCGGGCGGTGCTCTCATTACTTCGCCACCTTCTCGGTCCGGCAGACTCAGACGAATATCGGCAAAGGCTTTTTCCAAGTCTTCTAAGCCCCCTGGAATGCTTTGGAGGTTAGAGACTTCTTGTGGCGCCTCTGCCTCCTCGGGTCCTTGTTCCTGTGGTTCCGGAGCCTCCTCTACTTTGACACGTCTACGCGTCAATAGCTGCCTAAGGCCCTTGAGCAGTCTTGGGCTTGCCTGCAGCATGGTCTGGAAGGACTGACACCATGGTGCCCAGGAGTTTGCTCAGTGTGTCATCTAATTCGGGCAGCGTCAGAATCGGAATCTGGTATCTGAACTTTTTTTTGGCCGCCGTGGCTTTGTCTACCGGTTCCTCTTCCCTCGTTTTTCCGTAGACCTTCTCCTGTTCCCCGGCCTCCGCTTCCTCCTGATCCACACTAGCCCCTGCGGCTTCTTCCATTACTGTGTCTCGGATGAGCTTCTTTTCCGCGCCAGCCCGTCGGGTAGTGATATTTACCCTATCCTGCTTATTGCCTTCTAGGATAAAATTGGCCTGTGGTCCCCGTCCCCTTGGCAGGTCCCAGACAATCTCGGCTATCGGCTCTGCTTCTACGGCAGCTATTTCTAAGTTATTCAGGAGGAGGACGGCTCGACGCATCCCTCCTGGCGAGTTCCAATTGACACGCTCTCCCCTGGGTCCGAGGATCTCGCCTTTGAGGGACCTGCTGCACCTCTGCCGCTCGATATCATGATTGAGTCTCGGACAGGCCCGTACGAAATGCCCAATCATGGTGCAATACTTGCATTGTTCGTTGGCCGGGTCCCTCCTGCCAAATCCCCGGTTTGCTACAGCTGCCGGGACCACGGCTTCTTGAGGCGGGAGGGTGGGTCGGGATACTTGCGCCTGCATTACTTATAGCGCGCTTTCCATTCTTTCTATCTTATTGTGAACCCCGTGCACCCTTTCATGCAGGCTCTCTATTCCCTTTTTGACCTTATCCCCCGTTGTCGGGACTGGTGAGTCCCGAATGACTTTCCGTCACTCGAGAGATTGTATATGACTAATTTGTGCACTTCAGAGAAAACCGGAGGCAAGAATGCTGGAAAGATCGGAAGTGTGGGCACAGGCAGTAGGAAGCCAGAGGCTGCCCTGAGTCGTCGGGGCCGCCAAACTAGAAAGGGGTTGTCTAAGCAGGAAGCGGCAAAAGGACTGTGAGAGAATAGCAGGGGCGACTCTTTTCCCAAGGACGGAGAAGGGCCGCCGGGAAGTCGGTAGTAGCATAGGACGTGCGCAGCAAGGGAAGGAAGGAAGTGGGAAGGGACAGGGCGCAAGGCGCTGACGCGACGGGCGACAGGAGGGCCAAGGAAGACCGCAGGGTAGGTGGGAGCCGGCACCCGGAACGGAATAGCATGCGGGACGCAATAGGAGCAGGGAGAAGAGATCGCTGTAAGGCGGAAGGACGTCAGGAGCACCAAGGAAAGACGTGGTACAGGTGGGGCAGGAGTGTCGAGGACCACATGGGATCGAAGGGCGGTACCAGCAGGACAAAGTGTCGGGGACCACGCGGGACCAGGGGACGGCGTGGTACCGGCAGGGCGAAGTACCGGGAACCGAAGTGCCAGGGACCGCGTGGGCCTTGATAAAATGGCGGCACCAGCGGAACCACTAGCAGATTGAGTATCGATGGAATAATAAGTGTTAGGAGCTGCGGACAGGGGCCGAAGGTCGGATGCCGTCGGCAGGGTAGTTGGCGACCAGCCCAAGAGGGGGGACGCGCGAGAGCGGGTCGTCACCCAGGATGACACCGGACGAAGAGAAGGGGCTAGGAGAAATAAGAAAAGGAGGAGAAGTCGGGCGCCGACAAGAATTGTCGACAGAACGGAGAAGACGGGCGCGAGGCGGGAAAAACGGAAGGCACCTGGGGCGACCCAAGGGACCCTGAATCAAATGCAACAACAACAAAAATAAAATAACATAACATCAGGTGGACGGGACCTTCCGGGCCAGGGGGTCCGGATGAAAATACTAAGCACCGCCGCGGCAAGCGCCGGCGGGAGGTGCCGAAAGGAAAGAGGTGAGGGAGTAGCAGCAGTAAGGGGGGGCCGGGCAGCAGTCCGAGTATCCCGGATTGGCCAGGCCAAGAAAAAACGAAGTTCCAAGGGCTCCACGTGGGAAAAGGGCTGGCCGGAGAAAATTGGAGCAAGGGGGTCTCAAACTGGAAGCGGCGGAAGCAAAAAGGAGCCCCCTTTGGCCTGGGGGCTGCCACTACTGCAGTCCGAGGTGTAACGACCATATGCTGGTTGCAAAATCAGGTCTTGGGAAAGTTCCAACAGCTAGAAAGAGGAGAAATAGTTGTTGGACACTTGTCCCAACAGTAAATAAAAGAGAAAGGAGGAAAAAGGGGGAGAAAGGAGGAGGAATGAGTGGAGGAAAAAGTGCCGCCAGGTTGGGACTGCAGCGGTAGGGACTGGCAGGTCTCAATGATGACCTCATCCCTCCTAGATCCTAGGAAGGCAGTCCGGATTGCAGAGATAAGGTCCTTGGGGCATTATCTCTGCAAAATCTGAATTTAAGCAGCAAAAATAAGGAAAAATGCTGATGTGAGTTGGCCGGCTCATTTTTGGGCCTTAGATATGAGATTTGATCTTGCGGAGGAGGAGATGTAGCCGTTTTCTGTGGGCTGACACAAAACGGCTAGCGCCGTAATGAGTTGGCAGCAAAATGGAGGGAAAACAAAGAGAGGAACAAGACAAAACTGAGTATTTGGCCCAAGGTTTGGGCCAGATACACCAGAAAGTTAGAAAAGTGAAGGTGGGAGATCAAATTTGAACCAAGGGGAGCTTGGAGTAGCTCGGAATGATAGGAACCATGGATCTCAGCCACATCCAAGGCTGAGATTGGAGCCGCCACTTGGAAAAATGTAACGGCCTACCTAAAAGAGGCCTAGACCAGGAAAAAGACGAAAAATGGGCCTTTAGGCCCTCAAAATTCAAAAAAGGTTGCATTTTGGGAAGAGGTACCCCAAAAGGCAGCTTTTTTTGAAGTAAAAAGAGGCCGGGATAAACCAAGGGGTAGTACGAGAAGGTACCAGCCTCTCGGGCTACATGTACCTGGCCGAAATGAGGCCCAGGTACCTCCGGATAGGCCAAAACCGGAAATTTGGCCTTGGGGGTACCTAGAGGCACTTAGAGAGGCCTAGAGGTTGGGCGGTGCACCTGTTCCAGCCTACATAAGCTGGAGGTGCAGGCCGCCACACTCATTTGAGCATGAGAGGTGCCCATGCTGCCCAAATGAGTCTAGGAGAGAGTCCGAGTGGAAGTGAAGCAAGGGAGTGAAAGTCGGAGCTAGCCTGGAGTCTGGCTATGGTGATAGCGCTGAGGGAGGAGGTCTAGAGGCTAGAGAAAGGCAAGGGAGGTGATCCGCCATAGCCCTCAGGCTGTGCGGTAGGAGGAGAGGTTGAAAGTGGTCCCCTTAGCCCTTCTAGAGGGAAGGACTCCACAACCTTAAAGGAAGGAGCCTGCCTTAGCTAGAGGAGAGGTGTGAGTGAAGGACGGGAGAGCTTGGGAAGGAGGAAAAGCCATACTCAGGAGGCTAGAACCAAGCATTGGGACTCCACTGCCTAGAGACCAGCGAGAGGTGAGTGAAAGAAGAGGGAGGTCTCCTCTTTCTTCTTCCTCTTCTTCTTCTTCTTCTTCTTCTTCTTCTTCTTCTTCTTCTTCTTCTTCTTTCCTCCTCCTCCTCTTCTTCTTCTTCTTCTTCTTCTTCTTCTTCTTCTTCTTCTTCTTCTTCATGTTCCTCTTCTTCTTCCTTTTCTTTTCGTTCTCCCTCTCCTCCTTCTCCCCCTCCTCCTCTTGTCAAAACTGCAATTTTTGCTGATTTGGGTGTTGGGGTGTGTTGCGCTTCACCTTGGGATACTTCGGTGATGTTTCCCCTAGTGTAGATGATGCCAAACTTGTCATTTTGTTGATTTGGGTGCCTGGGTGTGTTGCGCTTCATCTTGGGATACTTCTGTGATTTTTGCCCTGGTGTAGATGATGTCAAGCTTGTCATTTTGTTGATTTGGGTGCCTGGGTGTGTTGCGCTTCACCTTGGGATACTTCGGTCATGTTTCCCCTAGTGTAGATGATGTCAAACTTGTCATTTTGTTGATTTGGGTGCCTGGGTGTGTTCCGCTTCATCTTGGGATACTTGGTGATGTTTCCCCTAGTATAGATGATGTCAAGCTTGTCATTTTGTTGATTTGGGTGCCTGGGTGTGTTGCGCTTCATCTTG